TTTGGATTATTGTGTCAACAGAGATTCTTATTGGACCATAAACTTTACAGTTTGAAATGAAAAAAGGATGCTAATAAATATATGAAAGGAAAGATGAAAAATAAATTATCCCCCCCACAGCTCTTAGCATCACAGAAGATCCTGCAAATGCCAACCACCAGAGTGATCCAACAGCTGTCTTAGAACTGGAGGTGATACACAATGATGCCTTATCTGGTGAGTAGGACAGATACCTGAGGCTCAACTGCTGTCACCAGCTGCATTGATCTCCTAGTCTCTATGCTGGGATCCTCTCAGAATTAATGAATTTCTACACATCTTATTACAATTTAGACAACTTGTTCAGTGTTTGTTCTGATGTGCACACATTTTGTGAGGACTATGCTGAGTAAAAAGCTTTCCTGGATTCATGGATCACTGGCCATGGCTAACCTTTCTGTTTAACTTGAATTCTATACTGTTTCAAACATGTAACCCTGCTTACACTCTGTACTGAGTCTAGGAAAGCCCACTTTTTAGATGCTAACTTATTTCACATCTGATCCTGATGTCCACAGTAGAGTCAGTTTGTCCCTGTATAATGGTCTCCATCTCGTTTGAGTGAAATATAGGTGTTGAGTACACATATATTTAAATATATACTTCACAGTTGAAAATACTGTTTTCATTTAAACCATTCGAATATGTCTACAAACCACAGTTGTAGAGAGATTTGTTGGGTTATTTACAGGGACAGCTCAGACTTACGGATCTAGCACTTCATGACCCTCTGCTCTTGTTCAGGGTGACTTTGACCTGCTTGCTTTCTCCCTGCTCCCTATTCTTTATAAGGACTCCCTGCAGGGAGGCTTCTTTCTCGGTTAATTCTTATTCTCCTCAATGTGCATTTTGACAAAGCAATACTTGGTTGTATCATAGACTTTCAAACTATCTATTATGAAGTATATAATGTTCTTGTAATTGCCACCAGATATGGCAACTTACTTTTTGACAGAATTTGTATGTTTTATTGAGACACCAGTATTACATGTATGAGATTCACTCTGGTCCCTTCCCTGGAACATGGCAGACCCAGTGCACACAGTAATCACTGAAGGTGAATCTAGATGGCACACAGGGGAGTTACAAGGTTGACCCATGATGCAACAATTCTTCAGACTCCACTATTCGCACTTCTCACAGGACACCTGCAAACTGTAAACTGTTACACATGTCCACCTTTCCTCTCACTCATATCCACTTACAAACTCAGCATCTCTTTTTTGTCCTAAATTCCCTTGTAAAAGAGAAACAAGAAAAAGACAATTCACATGCTTATGCATGTTGAGTGGTCTGTGTTCAGTGTTTATCACTGAAAGGACAGACCCAGAAATCCTAGACTGGGCTCCTCTTCCAGAGCTGCAGTGTCAGGACTGGGCTGGTTTTCCTGAGCAGAATGAGGTCCTGTTTGCATTTTCCTGATGTATAGTTATTTTTGTTTTTTTTTTAACCTAAGCTCAAAAGGGAGGCTTTCCTCAGCAAAGACTATGGTCACTGTAGCAATGACAGAATTCAAGAAAACCTACCCTGTATCCACTTATGAGTGAGTACATACCATGTTCATTGTACTGGATCTGGGTTACCTCACTAAGGATGGTTTTTCCTAGTTCTATCCATTTGCATCAAATTTCAAGATGTCATTGTTTGTTTGTTTGTTTTTAACCACTGAGTAGTACTCCATAGTGCAATTTTTTTCTTTATCCCTTCTTGGGTTGAGGGGCATCTAGGTTGCTTCCAGGTTATAGTTCTTACAAATAATGCTGCTATGAACATAGTTGAACAAGTGTTCTTGTAGTAAAATTAAGCATCTTTGGGGTATATGCCCAAGAGTGGTACTGCTGTCTCCTGATTTAAGTTGAAGTGGATGCTAGCTATAAAGCAAAGCAAAGGATAATGAGCCTATAGTTTAGGATCCTAGAGAAACTAAGTAACAAGGTGAACTCTAAGAAAAACATACTTAGATCCACCTGAAAAAGTTAAATAGACAAGATTGCCTGACAAAATTGGGAGCATGGGGGTGGAATGGAGAAGAGAGGGTGGAAAGCGAAAAAGAGTGGAGACGGGGAAGGGGGAGGAGAATTGAGGGAAAGGGTTAGCCAAGATGGAGGAAGGACAGAGATAAGATCAAGGAAAGAGATATTTTGATTGAGGGAGCCATTATAGGACTAGCAAGAAACTGGAACTAGAGAAATTCTTAGAAATCCACAAGGATGACCCCAGCCAAGACACTAAGCAAGAGAGAAGAAGGTGCCCAAAATGGCCTTGTCCTGTACTCAGATTGATGAATATCTTAAATGTCAACATAGAACCTTCACCCAATGACTAATGAAAACAAGCAGAAACCCACACTGTATTGCTGGGCTGAGCTTCTGACCGGCTCAGGGGAGCCACTCAGACCGTGGGAGAATCAGGGCGAAGGCTCAGGAGAACTCAGGAATCGGCGAGGAAATGACAGGCAGACACACTCAATAAGGTTGAATATGCTGCTGCAATTTTACTTCAGCCAGGCAAAAGCTTTTATACCATTACAATTCAGGAACTTGGCAAGGGGTTTGCATCACCAGATCATAGGATAAAAACAAAAAGAACAGCACATACAAATTTATTCTGGGTGTCAAATTGCGGTTGTTGCTCAAGGATATGATCTAATCAATTTTCTGAAATCTGTCTCATATCACCAACCTCAGCCTCCCACTCTTCCTAATTTTCAGGCTCTAGGGCTCCAGGACACATTGCCCTGCCCCTGTAAAAAGGCCTCATATGCTTCTGACATTTCAGTGAATATTGGGGGATTAAAGATACTACAAAATATTTTTACCCAATATTCTCATGCTGGTTTCATATTATCTAATATTGTCCTCTTTTCTTCCAAACTCAGCAGACACCAAGGGGGGCAAGAGCGTGCAAACCTTTCCATGAAAGGCAGGCTATTCCACAGCTGTCATTTCCCCTCATGATTCACCCATTACCAACCTATTACCAAAGTTATCATCTCCCCCTGTGTATGGGAGTGGGTCAAGGTAATTTCCCGTCTCAGGGGTCCACTGTGGGTGTGTCCACCATCTACCTCCTATCTTATACTGTATGTAACCTCTGGGTAAATGTCTAGTGGGAATTGCCCTAATGATGACCCTCGATTCCCAGAGCCAGCAACTTCCCCAAAAGCTTTAATAAATGGTGGGGCAGAGTCCGGGATGTCCTTATCAGTTTTGTTCTCACCGGCAACTTCCTGAAACCACTTGACCTGTGGGCAAGACAATAGGACAACGCATGACAGACAGATAAGGAAGAAACAGCTCCAGTGGTCCCAAGGGCAGCGAGGTCGAGACAGGTCACGGCAGATTGTCAGGGGGCAGCCTGGGGCTCAACTCCAGGGAGCACAGACCCCAATCCATCAGCCTTGTTTCGTCCAGTCAGCATTTCTGCTACACCGGCGAGACAGTCGTGGATGTGGCAAGCTTCCAAAGTGCAGCTGAAAAGTGGGAGTGAGAATATGAGCAAAGAGGTCAAGACCATGATGAGGACATCCACTGAAACAGTTTACCTAAGCTAAGGGAGGTCACTAACTCCAGCTAGACAAGGAAGGAAAAACATAGGTCCAAACTAGACTCTCTGAATGTGAGTGACAATTGTATGGCTTGAGCAGACTGCAGAGCCACTGACAGTGGCACCAGGATTCATCCCCATTGCTTGGCTTTTTGGGAGCCCATTCTCTTTTTATGGATACATTGACCAGTCTAGATATGGTAGGGAGGGACTTGGGCCTTCCCCAAAGCAATGTACCTTACCCTTTCTGAGGAGTGGACTGGAGTGGCATGGGAGGGTAATTGGGGAGGATGGGGGATGCGAGAGAGAGTGGGAACTGGGTTAGTATGTAAAGTAAAAAAAGATAGTTTGTTTTTTTTTAAAAAAATAAAATAAAATAAAAAAGCAAACCTACCCTTAATATGGTTGTGTCCTATGAATATTCAGCACTCAGACATCCCAAGGCTCATTTATACCATTATGGCTCCTAGATAACAGAGTTGTGTGTTTGTGGTTCAGCAAGGAAGACTGCTTACTAGACAATCATGTTTAATTTTTCATAAGATAATCTGAGGCATGTGAACATCATTTTCTGTAACTCTTCTCTAGAAGTTGAGGGAGGTCACAGGTTTCCTGTATTTCTTTGCACAGTTTTGGCATTTCAAATTGCTCCCTTGAGAAATATCAGGGTGAAATTGTCCCATGACATGCCTTAAATTAATTATATCCTCATAAAGTTGGCTAACACTATATTTTCTGACCATGTAGAATCCTATGGTCTACCTTGGGGAGGACATGACCTCAGAGTTGGCCACATCAGATATCTCTTTCTTCATCACACATATGCAGCTATCCTCAGATGTACCACCTTAGGTGCACAGAAAACACAAAAGATGAATAAAAACTTCATAATATAGTTAATCACTTACAGATCTTTTTACTAGGAACATAAACTCTTTGACTCTTCATTTATGTCACTATATATTTTATAACAGTTTTTGACCTGAAACTCTGTTGATGGTTTCTCTATCTACTATATAAATGGGACAGTGTAAAAAGTGAGCCTGAGCGGTCTGAGATGACCCATAGGAAGTATCAACACATTCTAGCTTTTACCAACATTTTAGCCCAGGGGCAACAGAATCATGACAAAAAGAGCAGGTCACTAATGGAAACGTGTGCCTCAGAGACACCTCAGCCTGACTATTGAACTACTTTTGGAAACACAGATATTTAGCTATATTTGACTCCACTTTTCATTTACTTTGGAGTAGCAGTCTTCATTCCAGTGCTCTCAGTTCCCTTAGTCTCCTCCCTCTGAGGATTCACATCTACTTCATCTTCATACAGGAAGTATAAGAACAAACTAGTTCGCATACTTAGTTCTCCGAACAAATCCATTAACAAAGGTTTTCAAAAGAGTTAACCAAGGTCTGATGGAAATAAGAGGCAATCACATCAATGACCAGTCTCTGGCATCAGCCTGGCTGGACCATTTTCCAGTAACTGAATCATTAAGTAGCCCTGATGTGACTGTGAGCTGTCATAGCCTGAAGGACCCCAACTCATTTTAGCCACAGTTATGTCATTTTGCAAAGAAGCTCAGTTCAGAGAAGGGCCCCCGGAATGCTGAGCAAAGCAGGATACCTGAGGTCAGAATGAGGACAACCTTATCAGGCTGCAGGACAGGGGATTTATGGTCAGACATCTGGCGAGATATCCAGGACAGCCTTATCAGGATGCAGGACAGGGGATTTATGGTCAAGACATTCTGGCCTGAGTGGAAACAAAGACTTCAAAAGATGACCATATGTGCTTGAGATAGGGTCTGGTCAGTTATCTGGTTTCTTTGATCCAGGCCAAGGACCACGAGGCCTGCCCTCAAATTCACCCCTTGCCTCATTCAAACTGGCCAATAGGACCCCTGTAACTGCACTTTTGCTTCTGTAACATTGCTTCTGCCTATATAAAGATAACACAAGACGTAGCTCGGGGTGCTCAGTTCTCCATGTGACTGCAGCACCCACAGGCCTGTGAACATTAAAGTTTGCCTCTTGTTCTTGCATCCAGTAGCTCTCGGACCTGGTTCTTGGGCACGGGTCTCCACGCGTGTGAGACACCCTCCGGGTGCTCTTTCAGCCATGATAGAAATCTCAGCTTCCTGTTGGTCAGGACAAAGTCCTCACACAATTGTATGAACCTGATGCTGGAAGGGCAATGCAGAGAAGATGCAATTGCTTAGTAGGAGGAGTCTTGTCTCTTTCTGCAACTTCCAGATGCTTTGCCTAATGGCTGAACTTATGAATACACAACTCCTGCCCTGCCATTTTTCCAGAACTCACAGAACACCAGAGCATCCCCAGCTCAGTCAAAGGTGAGATAAGTTCATAACAATCCGAGCATGCTTTGATCAGTTCTCAGGTGTCATCATATTTTCACTGATATAAAAACATACTCTGGTTTCCAATGCTTATCTGTTCTTTCACAATGACACTGTCCATAGGATCCCAACATATAGTGAGGATACATCAGTTAATCTAGGTTTCTGCAGAATCCAAGCGTGAATAGACCTGAGTTGCAGATAAAGAATCTGACTCAGATTTTACAACAGGGATATTTTTTTTGACTGAGAGGCAGTGAAAATAAGTCATTGGAAGGAGCCTGCAGGAAAGAAAATTGATGAACAGGTTAAAAGAAAATTCCCTAGGCCCTGACACACCCCTGTTCTCCAAAAATCGGTGGAACCAGAACTCCTCGAGATGAGAGACGAAGAGCTCAACACAACGAAGCTGAGCGGAGACGGAGGGACAAGATCAACAACTGGATCGTCCAGCTTTCAAAAACCATTCCAGACTGTCATGCAGACAACAGCAAGACAGGAGCGAGTAAAGGGGGCATCCTGTCCAAGGCCTGGGATTACATCCAGGAGCTACGCCAGACCAACCAGCCAATGCAGGAGACCTTCAAGGATCCCCAGCGGCTGCAGATGGACAATGAACTCCTGAGGCAGCAGACTGAGGAGCTGAAGAATGAAAATGCCCTGCTTCGAGCTCAGTTGCAGCAGCACAACCTGGAAATGGTGAGCGAGAGCACCCGGCAGTGATGCCCACTGGCATACCCTGCAGCTGCTGCCGGCCTCTGCTGCCCCTCCCCCAGCCCTTCGCACAGAGAGGGAGGTGCCCCTCCCCAAGCTGCGTTTTTTTATAGTAGATTTTTAACAAAAACAAGGAGACATGATGCATTTCTGTGGATACATTGCCCACTACCCTCCTCCTTGCGAAAATGATGCCCACCTGCCCACCTGTCCGCCAGCCTCCCTTCTCAGTCCTCACCAGGAGGAGCAAGGGAGGAGGACAGAGGCCCCGCTGTCTGCTGCCTCCTTGGTCTCTAGGGGTATTGAGACAGGGTGCTTATGGGAAGGAGGGAGCTTTGGGGGTGCCTTCCCTGGGGCCTGGACCTATGCAGGAAGGCCACGTCCCCCATCCCTCTTGTTTCTGGATCCTTGCTCCCTCTGGGTGTGTGTGTGGGTGTGTATGTGTGTGTGCGTGTGTGTGTTTTAATTTTCTTTATGGAAAAATGGACAAAAAATAGAGAGAGAGGTATTTAACTGCAATAAACTGGCCAGTGTGGCCCCGCCTTGTCAAAAAAAATTAGGGAATTTTATGAGTAAAAACAAGAAATAAATATCAAAGAAGAAAATAAAGGACATGCTGTCTGTGAGTAGATTAGGGACTGCCTGCAGCTAACTGAAGATCAGTGAGAGACACTGGTTGCATTGTCCTCACAGTCTCGATGACAGAGCCTCACACACATTTTATTACCAGTTCCACACTTGTGTCTGATGTGCACATATTTTGTGAGGATGAAGGTGAGAGTGAAGGCCATCAGTGTTCTTGGGTCTTAGACCCTTCCTGATTTCCTTTTTGGATCTATGTTGAAACCCTGTGCTCTCACCATGGTGAATATTGAGACTGCCCTGAGTCTAGTACTTCACAATTTCCAGACAGTTTGGTCCTTTCAGGATATGATCCCAGTGCCTATACAGATTCACTCTCCTATCTTTTAAAACATCACATTTTCGTACAGAAAATAACAGTTTTATTACAGTATTGGGTAATCCAATTCTAAAACAAACATTAGCCTCCCCAAATTCTTCTAGATGCCGGTACTTCTGACTGTATGTAAGACATCAGAAAAAAAATGTAGGACCAATATTCTGTGAATTACTGTGAATCAGTCTCCAGAAGTTAAGGAATGAAGGACAAAACCAAAGGAATTAGATTTAGGGAGACAGAAATATATAAATATAAAGAGAGAGAGAGAGAGAGAGAGAGAGAGAGGAATAAACTTTCCCAGCTTGTGTTTTCTATCCAGAATATGGACTACATGAAATGATGACATCATTATCTACTCTAAAGACCCATAGCACTCTCTGAAATTTCATTATTCAGGTTCAACACCACTCATCAGAATTAAAAGGTAAAAATAAGAGTGGACTGTGCTCATGAGCAACATGGTACCTGCCACACTCTGAAATGAGGAGGCACAGGGCTGCTGATCTGGGTTCTCAGCCACTGGTGTTCTGAAGGTAAATTTGACTTTTAGGCAGGAAGTGGAGCTGGACTGTGTTTAGAGCCTTTATAAAGGAAAGGGAGGTCCTGATCCTGAAACAAACTCCAACTCCCTGTTCCCCAGGATACCTGATACCTGAGCTGGGCTCTGTGGACAGGGGATGCTGTGGTAACCTCAGACATGTAAACTATTAATATAGTATGAGAAAATATGCCACTCTAAAGCAAACATGCTAACTCTAAGACATAGAGAAGACAAAAAGACATATAACAACAACGATAAACCTACACAGACACACACATACTGGGGCAAAAGATATATGTATGCTAAAATCTTAAGTTATTGAAAATATTCCTTTTAAGCCTATGACATTCACTCTACTTAAAAACAAAACATAAAGCTCATTCACAATATATCTCGATAATAACTGATTTATCATAGTACAATTCTCATCTGCATCTTACTCCAGATGACTCTGTGTTCCCTGAGTTCTGTTTTGTCCTATGGAATCAAGCCTCAGATGAATGATAGAAAAGAGTTGTTTCTGAGAAGAAAAATGAGTCTGATTTTTTTTGATGAGAAAAAATGTCCTAACCTTTAACCAGGAGTAGGGAAAATTCAAACACAGGATTTCTTAGTGAAAATGATGAATGTGTAATTGAAATGGTACTTTTTGAAAAAAAAGCTTCATATATACTACACCAGAACTCTCCCATTGAGCTACCTCCCAGCAATAAATGAGAAACTTTAATTAAATGCTTCATTTTATATTATTTGTATATGCTTCTGTATGGATGCTGTAGTGATTGTGGAGAAAAACAGAGGTCACAGGGTCCTCAGGACTCACCTGTAGTTAAGAGATGCCCTGAGGCTAGGATTTAGAGTCTCCAGGGTCTTTAGTTTCTCCCAGATCTTGGTTACCACAGAATCACTTATACCTTGTGTGTGTTGTGCCCAGAGCACCCCCCCCCCTCAAGGAGAACACCAGAAAGCAGAGTGGACCAGACTGCAAAATGCAAGGTTAAGTCTTTTATTGCAAGTACAAGTGACTATAGGCAATTACTGGCTGGCCAGGAACTTCCTTTTTACTACCCAAAAACAACACATAGATTGAGAAGTTAAAACTTTCTTTGCAGGATTAGTTTTTAAAAGGTGCGGTCTACAAAGAGGTTTTCTGAAGTGGCTTTGGCATGGGTGGAAGACCGTCTGCCCCCTCCTATCCTGATCAGTCAGAGTTCTTCTTGTTTTACTTGTCATCACCAAGTGACTGGCTGGCTAAGTGACCTTGTGCTTGGAATCTCCCAGGTGGGAGGGGGAAAGGAAAGTGTTGCTAATCTGTGTTGCGAATTTTAAAATATTTTGCTAGGAAATTCTTTTCTCTTTGAAAATAAGGAGTGAGGGCCTCTCAGTGTGAATATTTGCTTTTGTTGATATCAGAGAATATCCTAAATTAAAAGACCACTTAAACGGAACTGCAAAAATAGCTCTGCACTTCAGATTATTCCATAGCAGAACTATTGTTTCGTATCTAAACTGTGATTTGAGGTCTACAAGACTGCAAAAAGAGCTGTATGGCAAGCAACAAGTTACCCAATCTGGGGGATGTAGAGACAGAATAATCACTGTGTCTCAGTGGTCCACCAGTCTAGCCATTTGTAAGATCCAGGCCAGGTGATAGAAGTTGTCTTTCTAAATATGGTGCAAGCTGATAGATGAATGAATCAAATATAAACAAGTACACAAATACACACTTACACAGAGAGGGAGAGGGAGGAAGGTGAAGAGAGCAGAAGAAAACAGTTTAATAAATAAATTAAAAAACACATATCACACTAGAAAACAGAAATTTGAATAAACATTTAGACACTTTGATAATCACTACACACTGAACATGCAGAGAGAATGCTGAATGTTATGTGAAGAGGGAGCCAAGACACAGAGGTGTCCAGATTTTATGTCTCTCTGAAGAAGTTCTGTGAACCCGAGTTCTGTGAGCTTTAAGCACCCTCTCCTGGCCCTTAGGATTCTGCAGTGAGGTTTGTGTCACAGTAGTATTCACTCACAGCATGCTTTGCAGAGTAATGTATGGTAGTGTCCTCAGACCCCAGACTGCTCATTACAGGTACAGAGTGATCTGGAAATTGTCTCTGAAGAGGGTGAATTGGCCCTTCATGGCATCGACATAGTAGATCGAACTACTATGACCATTAATGCGTGCTAACCACTCTAGTCCCATCACTGGTGCCTGGCCGATCCATTAATTCAGTAGTCACTGAAGGTGAATCTAGAGTCTGCATAGGAGAGTTTCAGGGACTTCCAAGGCTGTACTAAGTCTCCCTCAGGCTCCAACAGTGGCACCTCACACTGGACACCTGAAACAAAGAGAAATCTGGTGATGAAACTGTTTAGGAGCCATTTTTTTTCTTTCTCATGACCAAACAACACACATCATCTTATCTCTATGAAATACCTCTCAACATAATTACAAAGAAAAATCATCTGAGCACCAAGTCCGTGATGATGTTCTGTGTTCATTGGTCATGACTGAATGTGGGGACTTGGGAAGGATTGGTCTTCACTGTCAGATCTGAAAATCAGGTCAACAGGCCTGGTTTTCATGGTAACAGAAAAGCCTTATTTGCATGTCTTCCTGCTATACTAAGCCTTGGAGTTGGATCTCAGGGGAAGGCATTTCTCAAAGCAGACAAACGTATTCTAAGTCAATGATGACGTTTATGGAAACCAACACAATATTGTAGTTTGGTATTCACACTTTCCTGATTAAGGATTCATCACCTTTGCTTTTGTTCTCTTTTGTGGATATGCACAGAATTTGCTTTCTTTCCATGATGTCATGTCTCCTTTGTATAAATGTATAATTAAGTAGTTACACTCATGTCTGTGTGACATGAGTTCAGTCTGTCCCTCTGTATGGCCTGGACATGGCTTCTCTCTGGTGTGTCTTCTGGATAGGGTCTGATCCTCCAGAAAATGTTCGCAGAACTTCTTGACTGTGATGGGAACAGTTAGGAATTTTCTGAATTTTCTTACTTCTGAGACAATGCTGTCCTTAGGCAATAGGACACCTACAAGTAAGATGTGTCTTGTCACTGTCTCTTTACCTCTTTGTGGTTACTATGTAGACATATTTCTGTTTTCATCATACTCGCTTTTTTGCTTCCTGATGTTCTCTCTTTGATGCTTTTAAACTCTCTGCTATTATAGTCTCCCTTGTTTATGCCAGGTAACTCATGACTGCTTTTACGTTGTGTTAGTCACATTTTCATTTTTCCAATTAATATAATTAGCTTAACTGGACTTTTGAATAAGATTTAGGATGACCTTGTTTTTTTAAAGTTTTTTTTCCATTTTTTAAGTCTGTTATTTCCTTCCTACTTGTCTCCTTTCTCTCATCACAACTCACCTTTGCTTTCAAATCATCTATGTACCTCTGCCATTGATGGCCTTTGTTCCTCACTTGAGATGTCTTTCTTTCCTAGGGTTTCCATTCTAGTTCCAAAATCTACAAAGCTGAAGCCATAACACCAAACACACATAATCTAGGTTCTGAATTTGGCCAAAAAAGGCAGTGTTTGTTCCCCTAATCTTTGTTACATTGTTCGACATATAAATTTTCTAGTTCTCTTCATATTCCTCCTATGCTCACAGAACACAGCTAAAGAGGAGGCAGAAAGAATGTAAGAGGTGGACCATGGGGAACAAAGCTGGGAAATCCTGTCTACTGGACATGGTAATCACATTTATGAATCATAATGACTGCTGTTTCATTTAAGCCCTACATAAGGCCAAACTAGTTTAAACCCTAGAGGAGATAATTCCCTTACCTTACCACTTACTGAGGAGATGTTGGATGCAGACAATTCCTGGAGAAGAAGAATGTATCTGTAATGATTGGTAGTTTCCTAGGCAGGAATGTTTGTCTCCACTCACATGCACATATCGCCAACATTAACTGACCTTCTACATGTCATGAAGTGGTGAGAAACGTACACTGGTGAGAATATGGAAGAGAGTTGAAGGGGAAATAGCATAGAGATGTGATCATATTTAATTGTATACAAACAGAGTACACAATTTTTTAAAATGAAGAAAAATAGTGCCTACTGAAAAACTGAATGGTTTAAAGAGAAAACAAATCTCCAAAAAATGCTTTAATAAGCTTTTGCTAAATGTGATATACAGGAGGTAGTCAAGGCAACCGTCAGTAAAAATAATGCTCATGAAGGTGTAATATACATTATTATAGGTGCTACACTGCATTACCATGATAAAAAATTCAGCTTGGGACCAGTACAAAACCAGACAGACAGAGAGATAGTGAGAGAGAATTCCTTAGTGGAGACGTGCACAGAATAAAATGTGCATGATCATTCATTGTATTGTTGTGCTGGCTTAGTGACACAAATGGAGGATCCTTGATGGTCTGTGCTTATTATTTGGGCACTGCTCAATAAGGAGGTACCAGATAGTGGTTGAACAGTGGATGGGCATTTGTGATTTCCATCAGTAAGAGTGCTTAGGAGGAGGAGGTATGTTACTTGGCCTCCCAGGTCTATGAGACAATTGTAGGATCTCTAGAGGAAGCACATGACAATAATCATAAATTTTTATGGTTTATGAATTTGTTCAAAACACATCTAATTAACATTTCTTAAATATCTGCTGAGTTTCAAGAGAGCAGGAAGCAAAGATCATTTATACCGTAGGTTTCCCACTATAGAAGACACAGGTGTTTGACCAGGAAAGCTAAAGGCAAGCAAGCTATGAACATAGAAAAATATAAAAATTATAAAATCCATTATAAATTTTTCAGTTAGCATCCCTCTTAGGAGGAAAATGTCGGGAGAAATCATCCAGAAACTTAAATATTTCAGTATATAAACCTCACAGTGAATAGTAAAATTGAACGATGTAATATTGATGGGAACATCAGAGGAGAAATGCAGGTGTTACTATCATAGAGGACAACGGATTCACCAGTGTTTACTCACAAGGCAGCTATTGTGATGTACAGCAAGATATACACTAGTTATCAGAGATTGTAGTATGCTGAAAATACCTCAATAGATTTCTTTCTAAAATTCTGTTCCCAGTTTTATTCACAGACAAGCTCAATGCTAATGACACATAGAATAAGGACTATAGGGCTGTGAGCTCCGTGGAACCATGCTACACAGCCTACTCCAATACTGAGGGGACCTAAGAAAACCTTTGTCCAATAACAGATGGAAACCGAGGCAATAACCCACATTAGAGCACTGGACTGAGCTCCCAAGATCCAGCTGAAGAGTGGTAGGAGTGAGACTCTGAGCAAGAAATTCAATACTATGAAGGGTTCATCCACTGAGACAGTTTGCTTGAGCTAATGGTAGCACATCAACTCCAACTGGAGTGGGAGTGAATGAGCATAGGAACAAGTCATTCTGAATTTTGGTGACAATTGTGGAAGACTGAGGGACTACTGATGGTGACACTTGGGTTTGTGTCTACTGCATGTACTGCTTCTTGGAATCCTATTCTCTTTGGATGTATATCTTGCTCAACCTAGATGTAGTAGGGAGGGCACTGGACATTCCTGTTACAGGGAGTAGTGGCCGCTTGTTTGTTCCTGCTGCCCAGCTGGCTTTCACCTGAAATAATCACACAGAAACTGCATTAATTAAAATACTGCTTGGACATTACCACTAGCCTCCTATTGGCTAACTCCCACATCTTGATTTAAACCATTTCTATTAATTTGTGTTCACCATGAGGTCATGGCTTACCAGGAAAGGTTTAGCATGTCTGACCTGGGGTCTCCAGGGAGGCTCTCTGTCTGTTTTCTTCCTCCCAGAATTTAGTTTTGTCTTCTTCACCTACCTAAGTTCTGTCCTATTAGGCCAAGTAGTTTCTTTATTGATTAATCAATGAAATAATACATAAACAGAAGAACCTCCTACACCACAATGTAATGGAAGATAGCCCACAACATACAAGCCTTTCCCTGAATTCCAGAATGCCACAAATTGGGATATCTGATATTCAGATCAAGAATCTGTGATTCAGATATCATTGCAGAGAACACCAAACTTATTTTTGCAAGTGAATCAGTGTAAATAAGAAGTTTGTGGAGAAAACAATAGAGAGAGAAATGTACCTACATGATAAAATTTAAATCCTGTAAACTTTTAAAATGTTTTTGAATACCTTGGTAGAGGTAGGGTATTTTATTTTAGTCAAAAACAAATTGATGACACACTGGGGACCTGAGAAGACCAGAATAGATCCCAAGACCTACAAATTACAATGTGATTTGACTGCATTTCCAGAAAGGGACTTGAGGCTCAAGGACACCTTAAGCAGTATGTTAGACAAGAACATCCTGCAGGCTCCTGAAGCTCAGCTGCTATCTCTAGCTACTTTAGTCCCACGGTATAAGTACTAGAGTATAGCCAAGATCAATGATGAAATACACGTTCATGTTTCATGTTAAGATGATAGAGAGATGGAGGAAATCAAGGTTAATGGTTTATATGCTCTAGCAGGGTATTCCAGCATGATCTGTTGGCTCTTACTAAAATGCCAAATTCTGCTCTAACTGGAGAATTAACTGAAGCTCTGTTACAAATCTAGGGACCTCACTCCCATTGATCTCCGAATTTCTTCCAAATTAATCCTGATACCCACAGTATAGCCACGTCTGCCCTTTTTGTTGCTCTTTATCTTGTTCAGATGAGATCACAAATTGTGTAGAAAAATAAACATTACAATGGAAAACAGGACTTCAAAAAATTCAGATGCATTAGAAATTATTAAAAACTAAGTTCTAGAATATTGCAGTGGTGAGTCTCTGTTGTCCCTTAGTATTGCCTGCTGGCCCTGAGCTGTCTGTAAGAAGGTTTTATACAGGTTCACACTGGAGTTTCATCATAGTGTCTCTAGTTGATTAGTATATGGGTTTGTTGTCAGTTTGCAGACTGTTCAGTTTTAAGAAAACTTGGCTTTTGGAGATGTTCTGATGGTGATGTAGGATTTGAGAACTGAATTATAATCAGTGTTTTCCATTATACTGTATTATTCCCATTAACTCCAGACCCTTTCCTGGAGGCTGGCGGACCCAGTGTACATGACAGCTGGTTAATGCGAATACAGAGACAGTGCAGGTGAGAGACAGGGTTTTGGTTGACTGTGATGGCTGCACCAGTTCAGGTTCTGACTCCTTCACCTGGAACTGGGACAGTGCACCTGGAGAAAAGCAACGTCATCATCAGTCAAATATTCCATACATGATGAACCTGGTTTTCTCTCCTGAAACTCTGAAACACTTACAGGTTGGACAGGTCAAGAGGCAGAGGAACAGCACCAGGAGAGCCATGCTTTGCTGGAGCTTCAGTGAGAAGGAGATGGGGCTTCTTAGCTAGGCCTTGGCTTTCATTCTGAGCCTGGGGGCTACTTTGCATTGGGGGAGGTTTCTGAAAGGATAAAAGAAGCCCAGGAGGTTTCCCTTTCTCATTCAGGTGACTGAATTTGCTTCTGTTCCCCAAGTTAGTGGATTAAGTCTGTATTTCACCATGCCCAACCATCAAATGAAGTTTTGTAAATAATTAATGAATTTATTTTCTTGAGAAACTTTCAACACAATATAGTCTGATAACTATTTACTTTCTATCTTCTTTTGCAGATCCTGCCCATCTCCCCAATTCCAGATTTTACTAAAAAGTCAGAGTTTTAAGAGTCATTTATGAGGACATATGAAGGAGAAGCTCAACCAATCACATCTGGTTAAGGTGTGGCCACCTGAAGCCCAGGTAGAAAACCTGGCAGATGCAGGTGCGCGCTCTCTCTGCGTGGTGCCCGCCAGACCTACAGGATTTCGGAACTCCCATTCTTATAGTGTAAGTTTCCTCTTTTTAACCATTAAAGTATTCCTGTTATTCTTGACCTAGCCTGGTTATTTATCACAACAACCTAATTCGCCAGCAGACATATAAGGGTTTGGACATGAGGTATTCATTTCCATATAAACAGTTAATGGTTTAAAAATCCATAATTGGCAATACATTTTTTCTTTTAAAAATTATTATACAATACACATATTTGCTTTTACAGATTACAATTCTTTTATCAATGTACAGTGGTAATATTCAGGACTCAAAAGTTGGCTCAGTGGTAAGGCACCTGCCTCCCAGTATTAAAATATCAGCTTGACTCACAACAGTTAGCTTAGAAGCTGGGTGTGATTGTTTATCCTATATTCCCTCACTGGAGGCATTGTGACTGGAGGTCCTCTTAAGTCTTGCCAGCCAAAGATTCTGTCTGAGTATTTGTGCTCCAGGTTCACTGTGATATCCTTACTCAAAAATAAGATAGAAATCAACTGGTAAACATACTCAAACTCCTCTCTAGCCTCCTGACACATGTGCAAACCATGTGCTATGTACACACAGTCTAGCAAATTAGCATTTATAGCCATTCTAACTTTGTCCTTACTTGGCATTGGATTCATCGTTTGTAGTTATTCACAAATGTGCCACGGATGCTCGTGACCTTGTTTGAACTGCTGGCAGTGGAAGCCAAGAGATGAACTCCTGAAGACTTGTTTCCTCTCCATAGCTTTGTAACTGCACTTCTCAGTGTGGGCATTTCCATTCCTTTTCCAGTCATAGAGTGACACATTTAAAGCTATGCTAGTAAGAAATGACATTTGTCTAATCCTTTTTCTAATTGAGTTTAATTTTTAATTGTTTAATTCCTATTTTAAAATAAATTTGGTTCTTAAACTTAAGATCTTTCATATTGGCACAAAGCACTCTAACACAGAGCAACAAGCCTAGCTCATTCTTTTAAAAATCACATTTTTCTACAGAAAATAATTTTTGATGACTGCATTTACACACTACTAAAACAAACACCAGGAGACACAACTACTTATTCCTTGACACCCGGCACTTATAACTGATTCCGTAAAGGATCAATTTACAGCCGGGCAGTGGTGATGCAAACCTAAAATCCCAGCACTCAGGAAGCAAAGGCAGGCAGATTTCTGTGAGTTTGAAGCCAGTGTAGTGTACAAAGAGCTAGGTCCAGGATAGGCTCAGAGAAACCCTATCTCAAATATACAGAAACACAACCAAACAATAAAATCAATTTGCTGAGCATAGATTTTGAGAATGTTGGGTATAGAAGACAAATCAAGCCAAATGAAGAAAACAGAAGGAAGAGTACAAGGAGAAGTAGAGGGAAACTTCACTCTCAGCTGATGACTCCTATTCTGAGTCTGGACTCCATGACCTTTTCAAGAATACTGTGTAGTTGAACCACAGCATGTGCTGGAATCTCACTACTCATGTTCAACACATCACACATGACTGAAAAGTTAAAAATGAGAGCAGACTGCACATATGAGTAACAGTGCCTTCCACAGACAGTAAAGAGGAAGTAGGGCCTGTTGAGCTGTGTTCTTTTACTCTGGTGCTTTGAGAGTTACTGGGATCTTAAAGAAGAAAGGGAACTGGAATGTCTTCAGAGGCTTGCTCAGGGTAAGAGAGGCCCTGAGCCTGAAGTCAAACCCTGAATCCCAGCCTTGCTGCTCACCTGACCTCAGAGCAGGTTTCTGTGGTCAGATGATGTTGTGGTAACCTCTGCAATGTAAACTATTTATAGATGACAAGAAAGTATGCATCACTGATGCAAGTACTCAGACATGGAGACATATACACACTCAGATATAAAATAACAGAGACAATCTTTTCCAAAAACACACAAGAGCAGTCTGTATATTAACATCCTATGCTATTTGAAAATTTTCTTTTCCCACCTATGTCATTCTTTCTGCTGAATAACAAATCCCCGTGCTCATTAATAAAGTACTGTGATTACAATGATTCACCCCTCTAGCCTCTATCACTCCTTTCACCCTTCTGTCCTCTCCTACTTCATGTCTCTTCTTTTCTCTCCTCCCTCCTTTCATGATTTACCACACCAACTCTGCTTCTTTTATCTGCTCATCCGGGAACAGGATTGCAGGGTCACAGCATCTTGTATAATTATCTGAGACAGTTTTTTATAATGTCTTAGTTGAACCACATTCCCATTTACATAGGACAGGCATCCCTTTCCTCCATTCCCATAACACTTGGTCTCATTCGTTCCTTGGGTAAATAGCACTCATATCATTGGTTACAGGCAACTAATTCTTTTGAGTTTAAGATCCATTTTTGTGGTTGTTAGAAATGTAGCTTTATGCTACCTCTTCTGCCCACTTTCACTGGTCAAGGTAAAGCATCCCAATCAGAGCATGGAGGGAAGAACAATGTGTGCTCATTGGAGCATCACCTCTCAACTCTGGGTTCCCAGAGCTATCTGTTAACCTCCTGCTTCAGAACACAGAGAAGTGGAATAAAGGAGTTTTCCTTGGAAAAAAAATTAAACTGTTCTCTTGGATGACAAATATGATGTTATAACTTTTAACAGGGAGTAGTGAGATTTCAACGACAGTATTTATTATTCAAGATGAGAAATATAATTATTAAAAATTAGCATTTGAATCAAGGTCTCATATAAACTACCCAAGAACTAGACCATTGGGTTAAATCACAGAATTGGATGAGAACTTTTAAAAAATACACTGTTTCAATTAGGGGTATTTACTTATGTGTGGGTAGTGTAGTGCTCATGGAGTGAAACAGATGGCATAGAGTCATCTAGACTCACATGTGGTTCTGAGCTGCCTGTATCTTCTAGAGTTTACGATTTTCTTTGGCTTCTTCAGGAACTGATGCAGGTCAAAAGACAGGATCACTTTAGCTCAGTGTGATGATCTGCATTTTGTTCAGGTAAAAAACATCCTAAATTTCAAAGCAACTATAATGGGGCTGTGAAAAATCAAGACTTTGACACACAAGAACCCTTCATTTGGTTCTAAACACAGAACTCAGAATCCATAACTAAAAATAAAATAAAATAAAATAAATGTGTTTGGCAACCAACCACGTATACCATATAGGAAATGTGGAGACTGAGCAATCACTGGGGCTCACTGGAAAATCAGATAATCCAGTCGTTGAGATCCAGGCCCTTGGATAGAATTTGTCTCAAAACAGTGTTGCAGATTGTTAGAGAAATGCATCAAATGTCAACACACACACACACACACACACACACACACACACACACGGAGAGTAGTGAGAGACAGTGAGAGAGATTGAGACAGAGACAGAGATAGAAAGAGAGATAAAAGGAAACAGGGAGAAACACTATAATAAATAAACACACACAACACAACAGGAAAAAGAAATTCGAATAAACATTTGGACATGCAAGGATTACTACACACTATACCTGCAGAGAAAATCCCAAAGTGTGATGTGGAGAGACAGTGCAGACCCAGAGAAGTCCAGTCTTTCACGTTTTGCTGAGCAGACTCTTCTGTGCCCCAGATTTCTAAGTGCTCTCAGCGCCCCCTGCTGGTCCTGTGTTCCCCACAGCGGTGTTTTTTGTCTGAGCTCACAGTAGCATTCACTCAGTGTGTCTCTTGCACAGTAATAAGTGGCTGTGTCCTCAGACTTCAGACTGCTCATTTCCAGGTACAGAGTGTTCTTGGCATTGTCTCTGGAGACTGTGAACCGGCCCTTCACAGAGTCTCTATAATAGATGTCGCTACTACTTCTACTAATGTATGCGACCCACTCCATCCCCTTCCCTGGAGCCTGGCGGACCCAGTTCATTCCATAGTCACTAAAGGTGAATCCAGAGGCTGCACAGGAGAGTTTCAGGGACTTTCCAGGCTGCACTAAGCCTCCTCCAGACTCCAATAACTGCACTTCACTTTGGACACCTGTAAACACAAAGAATTCTGGTTAGAAAACTTATGCAGAAGAATATTTTTTCTCATTCTCATGTCCACATACCACACAGCATCTCATCTTTATAAATTACCTTTTAAAACAAGGACTGAGAAAACCAATATGAGCCATAAGTCCATGGTATGTGGCCTGTGTTCAGTGCTGACCCCTGACTGGGAGGACTTGGGAATTCAGGGCTGATCTCCTCTGCCAGAGCTGCAGGGACGGGGCAGGGCTTGGTTTTTATGGGCAAAAGAAGCTTTATTTGCATATCTTCCTGCAATAGCAGACTCTGTAATTGGATCTGGCAGAAGGCAGGAACCAGAGCAGATATAAGACATCATATACACATGTGAGAGTTATAGAAAATGAAGCATTAATGTGGTAACATTTTCCTTGTTAGGGATTAACTACACTGTAATTAGTTCCCTTTCCACCATATGCATGGAAAATGTTATGTTTCCACACTGTCATGTCTCTTTAGTATCAAAGTGAAATTTAAAAGCTAGACACACAGCTGTGTATCTAGATATTACCACTGTCTTTCCCTCTGTCTCTGCTGTACATAGTTTCTTTCTAAGGTGAATCCTGATAGGATCACTTGAAACTTTTCTGAATTTTAATCAATTCTGAGAGGTGCTGTCATATGCCTTAAGGAATTTTGCAAATGATACATTCTTTGTTCTGTCTTCCTCTCAATGACTGCTGTGGAGACATATTTGTATTTGCAGGACTTAGTTGCTTGCATCCTGAAGTTCTCCCTATGATCACTTTGTATCCCCTACTCTGCCTTTCCCACCTCAATACCTCAATGGCTGGCTTCATGTTGTTTTAGGTCACTTTTATTTCTCCATATTTATATTTTTATCATAATGAGAACTTTTAATAAGTGTTGATAACCAAACACAAAACTTCTGCATCAATTTTGTATTTTCAGAAGTTTTGTTTTTATTTTCTGAAATTCTCATGCTTTGCTTTCTACCCACACAGTTCCTTTTTCTCACTACACCTAACTTTTCCTTTGAAAACCCCTGTATTACCTTGTGCTTTTTCCCTCTTGTCTTTCACTCAAGTTTTCTTGAACCCCAAATAGGGCCAAGTCAGCCAAAACCCTGGTACAGATACTGCCAAAAATTCCTTGGTCGTATTTCTTACTGAGGAGCAGTTGGAAATATGTTTTGGGTGTCAAGGGACATAGTCACTCTTTTTTGATGTTATGGTCACAGGTATGTTTCCCATGTTGTAGTCTTGGGTTTACATATATGCAGATATGGGCATCACTAACCGTTCTTAAGTCAGTATAAGGGTGGTAAGGACCCATGTTTGGAAGATGTGAGAGGAGCTGGGTGGAAAATATCATACGTAAAACAGAAAGAATAAAGAAAATTAGTAAAAAACTGCATAGCTGAGGCTTAAAACAAAAATTTAAAAAGCAAATGATTAAGGAATATTGGTAAATATCAAATAACTTGGTAGGCAACTTTATCTGGGACCATCTTCCCATCCAACTAAGAACTGGTAGGGTTTTGCACTTATGTACGAAGAATCTATTTGAGGATAATCCTATACATGATTGTTAAATATCTTTTCACATTTAGTTAGCTGTTACTTTACTCTAAGGTGACAATAGCCCATCATCAATCAGAATTAGGGGAAAAACATTTCATTCCCGCCCCTACCCTTTCCGGGCTCATGCTGCAGGAACAGTTATTATGGTGATAGATTATACATATGTGTCATCTAGGTATCCCCCTTTCTTTAAAATTATATATGACGAATCAGAGGACATAATGAAGAGAAGAGAAATTCAAGGTCATCTGGATACACAATTGCTACTTCTTTTCTACTCCAGAGGAAAAATTTTGCCTGTGCCTATTTGTTTAATAATTTATTTACCTTAATGTGAATATATGAAGTCTTTTAATTCATTTTGGTAGGCTCTCCATAAAAAGTTCTGGATATTCGTGGTCAAAAGTAAAAACCTGTGATTAGAATAGAGGTATTGGTTCTGATATATTTTAGGTCCAACAAACTTATTAAACTTTTACCCTATTCATCCATATCATGAGCAGCCATGTAAGTTGATCCTCACACTGACTCTGGAAAATATGATAGTGACACCTTTGAGTTCAACATAGTGTGGAGTTATTCAATTCACGGTTATGTATTCTTCTGTCAGGATTCTAAGAATGTAGTCAATGTGGTCTCTGAAACTTCATCACACACTATTAACGTCACTACCTGAGTTTCAGGAGAAGCCTCAGCCTCAGGTGAAAAGATTCTCATTTCCTTTTTAAACCTGTCTCAATTCTATGATCCATTAACATGGAGCCCACAGCCAACATGGCTCCTCTGAAGACACTTCAGTAGCTCACACATGAGACACCTGCTCTTCCTGTCACCAACAACAGAGAGTGCGGAGGAGTAATTCTGGGAACAACAAAAGCACCAACAAAAGATCAAACTGTGAAAAATCATAGAACTCAGTTGTCTATGGGAAAGACTGAAGAGAAATGGACCAGGAACTGGAACTGATATCTGTTGGGATGTGCATATTTGTGGCTGAAAATTTGTGGTCTGAGTTGAGAGTATACCCATAGAGGAATCATTAGTTTGGTTTTCCAAGTGCAAGCTAATTTTCACCAAAATGCTAATGTCCAAAAATATAATCTTGCAACAATGATAACAACTGTACACTTTTATAGGGACCTCTTAGTTTAAAAGCAAAAAACCACTGTGATGGTTCATTTTCTAAAGTAAGATTGGAACTTAGCTTCAATTCAGGGCAGTTGTGGTTTCTCTATCACAAGTTTAGAAATAAAGAGGATGAATTAAAGATTATTTGAAATTCTTAATCTGTCTTACAAAATCAGCAATCAGTAATTTTCCCAATTTTATACTCCTGATGAAATATATATACATATATATTTTATATTATATATATTTATTTATAAATATATGTATATATGGTGGAATGTATATATGAAATATATGAAATTAATGTGCTGTTTTGTCTAACAAGAAACAATTAGACTTAATAGAGGATTGTGGGGGAAGCCAGATGTTTTAGTGTCTAATTAAAAAAACAAGATTAATAGGCTATGAGAAGAAAGGGTACTCTAGAAGATTTTCTTGTGTAAAAGAAAAAAAAACAAAATTATACCTGGCATGAAACAGGTATAAATGAAGCATATTCCATAACTTCCTAGTTTCTGAAGTGACCACTACTGGTAATGTGAGTTCCTGCTGATCCTCAACATTCCCTGCTGGTCTGAGTAGAGAGGTTTCCATTCAAGCTCACACTGGAGTTCTCTCACTGTTCCTCAGGCACAGTAATGCATGGGTGTGTTAGAAGTTTTCAGATTTTTCAGTTTTATGAAAACACAGCTCTTGGAGGTGTAGCAATATTTTATTTGTGATCTAACTAATAAAGCTTCCTGAAGATGAGAGTGCAGAGCTAAGTCACCAGATAGCCATAGACATCAGACAATAGTGGTACAAACCTTTAACCCCAGTACTAGGAAGACAGACGTGGACTGACCTCTGTGAGTGCAGTGCTGTCCTGGAATACAAGGGATTGAATCTGTGTAAAACAGAAAAGGAGCTCACACAAAGGTGATCCCAGCACCTGGGACCATATGCTTTTAATCCAAGCAGTAGGGTCACAGACTGGCTTGACATGGCTGGGCAGAGAGAGAAATATAAGACAGGACGAGACAAGAGCTCAGATTCAGTCTGACATGTCAGTCTGAGAGGCAGACTGAGGTTTTGGAGAGATAGCATTCAGTCAGAGGATTTGTAGAGACAGGATCTTCTCCATTTGGTCTGAGCATTGGTAGAAGTAAGAACTCTCTAGTGGCTGAATACACTGCTTTTCTGAACCTTCAACTTTTGCCCCTGTTAGCTGACTCAGGCGCTTTATCATTAAGAACAATTAGAATTTGTGCAGCAGGAGGTGTCCCTGCTGATGTCGACTTGGGATTTGAGAGCTGAATTAAAATGTGTGCTTCCACCACTCCATATTCTTCACATCCACTTCAAACACTTTCCTGGAGGGTGGCAGAACCAGCTTACAGCATGACTGGATAATGAAAGTGTACAGATAATTCAGGTGAGGGACAGGGTCTGTGAGGGCTGTACTAGACCAGGTCCTTACTCCTTCAGCTGCACCTGGGACAGGGAACCAGGGAACAGGTAAAACCATCATGATTCATACATCCCACAGATGACATGCCTGGGTCTCTTTTCTGAAACCCTGAAACACTTACAGCTTGGAAAGGGCACCAGGCAGAGGAGCAGCACCAGGACAACCATGCCCTACTGTGTGATTTTGTGAGAAAGAGATGAGGCCTCTCATCTAGGCCTGGACTTTTAGCCACAGCAGGAGGGCTGCTTTGCATTGTGGGAAGTCTTGGAGGATTAAAGAAAGCACAGGGCATGGTTTACACTTTTCCTCAGGTTTCTTAGAATTGCCCTTGTGTTTCCTAGAGGACCAGGTGATAAAAAATGGAGTATTATTTTTCTGACAGTGGATTCCCACTTGCATACAAATAGGAAGTTGTATGATTCACACTGTGCAGACCTTGAATGAAAAACATTAAGCGACTCCAAATTCATGTTGTGCAGACAACAGAGGATACCACATCCTCAGTGTACATCCCTGTAACTTTCTGCAGAGTGTTTAGATTGAATTTAGTAATAAGATGCACTTCAGGCTCTTCCTGATGTGAAATCAGGATTAAGGAACTACTTAAAATCCTTTCTGTTGTCATTGAAGTTAATATCTTTCATCACTCCCCTATAAAATCCAACTCAAAAACATTTAGTACATGTTATTTAATTTTTTTTATCTAAGAGGAGATCCAAGGGATTGATTTTCATACACATAAGTGGTCTCAGGGACAACACACCTGGATATTTCTTAGTTCCTATTCTCTGTTTGTCTGTGTCTCTGTCACTATGTATTTTTAATTTACTTCCTTGT